TTTGAATCTCAACACAAGGAAAGGGAGTTCTGAGGTGTTGGAGGATTCAAGTCTTGTAAGGTTTACAAGAGTAGTGGAAATCTCAAGTGGGAGACTTGAGGACTGGATGTAGGCAGGATTGGCCGAACCAGTATAAAATCAAGTTTGCAATTCTTCTTCCCTACACTTTTATTTATTTGTTATTTAATTGTGTTTGAGTTGTTCTACATCATCATTCTTTACATAAAAATTTGTTTAAGGAAATAAATTGATAAGAAAGTAATTCAGAAAGGTTTTTATATTAAGAAAATTTGATTAACTTAATTCACCCCCCCTCTTAAGTTAATTGAGGCTAAGTGACTAACAATAATCACTGCGAGCTTGAAGAGGCTGCACAAATAAGACTTGCACGTACTTCATTGATTATCTAGTAGAACCCTTTATTTGAAGGAGATTGGACGTAGTTCAGTCTGAGTGAACTAGTATAAAAATACTTGCACTACGCTTTAATGTTTTAGACGCACTTTATTTGGTTGATCTAATATACTGAAAACTTTATCTAATGCTTATCGTCTATTAAAACTATTTTCAAACAAAAACCATATTTTTTCAACTTGTTATCCTAAAGAATGGTTTTCGTTTAAGAAGCATTTTCTCTAAGCAGACGATGAAACTCCTAGACGGAAAATGTTTTTGTAAAACCAATTCTAGGAAGTTTCCATTTAGCATTCACTAATGCTACTTTATTGGATGAAAAAGAGTCTTCTTGCGAAAACGTTTTTAAAATTCCTTTGTTCACACAAACACATATTCAACCCCCCTTTCTATGTGTTTTTCATCTAACTTCAAAAATCACCATTGTGTTAGGCGCAACTACATGGTGTTAGGCATGATGCAGGCTAGAGGCGCTTTACCTCACTACTACCAAATGTAGAATTGCTAGTGTTGAGCATGACTTAGAGGAAAACTCTTTAACTTGGTCACATCGAGTGTGGGGTTAAGGGGGTGTCGAATGTGGTTTTTCTCGAGAACTCTATAACTTGTTGATGTTGGGTCCTAGTTGAGTGGAGCTAGACATGATCAAGGTAGTAACTATCTACCTAGATAACGTCCAGTGCAAGTTGAATGGAATTAGGCATGAGTTAGGCAAAAACTCTCTATTTGAATGAGGTCAACGTAGGTCTAGCTACGTTAGACATGATTGACATAAGGATTCTTTTTCAAATCCACATTAGGCACATGTGGAATGGCATCAGGCATGGGTGAGACAAAGGGCTTTTGCATCAATGACACCAAGTGCTAGGAGAATGGTGTCGGGCATAGATTACTAAATGAGAAACTTTTTATTTATTTGTCTGAGTGTTAAGTATGTGTTAGTAGATTTAATTACTCGCATGATTTTGTTGATATATGATTCTAATTTATTATGCATTGATTTAGGATGATGTATTGGGATGTTTAAGTTTCTTAAAATTGTAAGTTGATTAGGAATGAAAGTTGAATCGTAATAGAGATGTATGAAGTGTTGTATTGAAAATAGTTATGTTGTGAATGCTTAATGCATGTAGTTGCACTATGTTGATTGAATCAGGACTAAAGGAGATGTATTGTTTTATTTATTTGTTATTTAATTGTGTTTGAGTTGTTCTACATCATCATTCTTTACATAAAAATTTGTTTAAGGAAATAAATTGATAAGAAAGTAATTCAGAAAGGTTTTTATATTAAGAAAATTTGATTAACTTAATTCACCCCCCCTCTTAAGTTAATTGAGGCTAAGTGACTAACAATAATCACTGCGAGCTTGAAGAGGCTGCACAAATAAGACTTGCACGTACTTCATTGATTATCTAGTAGAACCCTTTATTTGAAGGAGATTGGACGTAGTTCAGTCTGAGTGAACTAGTATAAAAATACTTGCACTACGCTTTAATGTTTTAGACGCACTTTATTTGGTTGATCTAATATACTGAAAACTTTATCTAATGCTTATCGTCTATTAAAACTATTTTCAAACAAAAACCATATTTTTTCAACTTGTTATCCTAAAGAATGGTTTTCGTTTAAGAAGCATTTTCTCTAAGCAGACGATGAAACTCCTAGACGGAAAATGTTTTTGTAAAACCAATTCTAGGAAGTTTCCATTTAGCATTCACTAATGCTACTTTATTGGATGAAAAAGAGTCTTCTTGCGAAAACGTTTTTAAAATTCCTTTGTTCACACAAACACATATTCAACCCCCCTTTCTATGTGTTTTTCATCTAACTTCAAAAATCACCATTGTGTTAGGCGCAACTACATGGTGTTAGGCATGATGCAGGCTAGAGGCGCTTTACCTCACTACTACCAAATGTAGAATTGCTAGTGTTGAGCATGACTTAGAGGAAAACTCTTTAACTTGGTCACATCGAGTGTGGGGTTAAGGGGGTGTCGAATGTGGTTTTTCTCGAGAACTCTATAACTTGTTGATGTTGGGTCCTAGTTGAGTGGAGCTAGACATGATCAAGGTAGTAACTATCTACCTAGATAACGTCCAGTGCAAGTTGAATGGAAATTTAATAATTATTTGGCCTTGGAATTAATTTTTGAACTTCAAGAGGAGCTGCCACGTCATCTGCCATGTCACCACTGCACCATTTTCCACCTCAGCCTTCATTTTTAGTTTTTAGTCTATTTTATTGTAGTTGGGTCAGACTTGTAATTGTTGGGGGCCCAAATTTTGTTTTAGGTCATTTTAGGTCTAGGTTAGGGCTGACTTGGCAGCCACTAACATGAGAGGTTGATGTGACTACGTAGCTGTTCTTCTTCTCCTTGATTATTCTTTTACGTTTTGGCTTTCTTTTGGTTGTATTCATGTTTGATTTCTCTGTAGCTACAGTTCACGTTTTGGGCTCTCCATTCCTTTTTGTTTTACGTTTTGCTTCCTTTTGAACTTCTGAACTTCGTTGTTATTAACATTTTTGTTGCTCTCTGTTGGGTTATTCCGTTTTGCTTCTTCTCCAGTCACGTTTTTGTTGCTTTCTCTTCTCTGCCTTGCATTTTCGTTTTCCTTCTCTGCCTTGCATTTTCGTTTTCCTTCTCTTGCTTGCATTTTTGTTTTGCTTCTCTGCCTTGCATTTTTGTTTTCCGTTTTCGTTTTGTTTTCGTTTCTGAGCTGTTTTAATGGAAGGCTAAAAACCCCTGGGTTGGCTTCTTGTTGCTGATTGTAATCTCTGTTTGAGGTTCGGTTATGGTTGTATATCTTTGTTCTGCTTTGTCTTCTTCATTTAACCTTTGTATCAATGTGTCCATGCTTAATGGGCTGTGCTCAATGCCACAGTTGCTTAATCTGTGAAGAGGTTGATGTTGTATACGTTTGCTTAATTCGTGTAGGAAAATCTTGAGTTAATCTTCACTTAGTTGACTAACTCGAATGGAACAAGGATTAAGTGGTAAATAGAGTAATCTTTTGAGAACCAGGGATAAAAGAGTTGCAATCCGAACAAGGAGCCAATCTATTTTACTTGCTGTGTTATCTGCGTTTATTGTGTTACAAACTGAAAATCTTAACCAAACCCCCCCACTTCGTGTGTTTAAGCCTTTAACAGTAAAAGACGGTCCTTGGGAGACGACCTAGGAGTCACTTCCTAGTACTACATTTAATTGCATTTATTTGACCGGATACGGCTTCGATCATTTAGTCTCATTCAACATAGTCCTAGCTAATTCCTCAAGAGACCTATTTTTCCTTTCAACAACCCCATTTTGTTGAGGTGTCCTAGGTGCTGAAAAATTATGATTAATACCATGCTCCTCACAGAATTTTTGGAACAAAATATTTTGGAATTCACCTCCATGATCACTTCTA